ATATATATATATATATGTATACATATGTGTAAGATAGAGTTGTATAGCTAGTGTTTTTACTGGGCGCGTATCAAATAGAATAGAATTGATAAAAAGGAACAAGAAACGCAGTTAAACAGAGGACGAGAGAAGTTCTAGTCGACTTGAATTCATTCTTTAATTTGATTTATGTACGAATCAGACATCAACTTATTATTATTATTATTATTATTAATTTCGCCAGAGAAATAAATTCCAAGACTAAACTCTTAAAAGCACTAGCATCTAAAGCCGATAGGGCTTTCATTAAAAACTCTACCGCATTTGAGATGCGAACCCACGACCATTCCTTAATGCAATGTCTTTATTATATAATAGAATAAACGCTACTATACCATGTAATAAATATATAAAAAACACATTCTAGCTCCATATAGTATACCATTTATTAAATGATCTGCAGTTTAGGTCATAATAATTGTATATTGCTTTATGATATAATAGTTTTATAATAAATTCGGACAGACGGACAGTTTGCAACAAAATGCAGTTGAACAGCAGGGAAAAAAAATTCCATATTAAAATATCGATGGATCGATAGGCATTTAAATCCAAACACACACAATTTATACACAGTATACGAAAAATGAAGAATTATGTCATGATGTTATTACAGTATTAGTGTCGTTGATTGTAAAATCATTCCAAAGAGTCTATCCAGTCGGCTGGAAATTTGCTTTAGGCCTTTCCCTTTCAATATTTATAAATATTTTCAATGTATAATCCATCTAAAGTAAATACTTAAAGTTGTAAATGTGTATCATATATTCGTACAAGAAATTAATATATAAAACTATATAATCGATCGGAATGTAGATTTAGTTGTTGCGCCTTCAGTACTGTTTGATTTGGTTTGCTATGGTTTGGTACAGGATATTACAAAGCAATACAGTATAGTATGCTGGAGTACAAATGTGGGAGTGTACTGTAAAGTAGTAATGTAGTAGAAGGACAACAATTGTTGTCGAAAGAAATTATTTTTGATTAATGTCCAATCATTGAGCAGTTGATTAAATTCCTTTGCAATTTAAAATATTTTTTGAATGTCACAGATGGCATGATCAAGTTAGTAAACTTAAATGGGTTGAAAAAAACCAAAAAAAAAAAAAAAAAACCCAAAAAAAAAAAAAAAAAAAAACTTTTTTTATCCAAGTAAGCAAGTTTGAATTGTTTTTTTTTCGCGTTTTGTTTGAGTTCAGTTTATACACCTAAAGACTGGTTTACAAAATTTTTTCCTTTCATTTTCTAACACAACTCAATTGGGGCATAAATTAGAATGTTTAAGACATATATATATATATATATATATAAATGAAATCAAATAATCTGGCTAATCAAGCCAAGCTTATAGACCGTATATATTGCCGTCATTGTTGTTATTACTTCGCGCACTGATGTGTAAATATTTTAATATTCACCTCTTGCTTTTTATTTTTTTTTTTATTTGTCAAAATCATTCGCTCTCACACGAACCCTCGCTTAGTATATGAAATTCTTTAAATTGCTTAATTATTTAAAAGTTTTATTGAATTTGGGCAACAATGCATTTCAAAAAAACCCATCGATTTCAAGCGTACAGAAAATGCCATAATTCTTCAAGCAAGCTTTTCCGGGCTGCGACTCGGTCTTTTATCCAGCACTACTTTCAATTCATTCAATGCATTCAATGAGCTTCAACTACACTATTGTTTGCAATTAAAAGCAGAAAAACAAAAATTTGTTATTTTCATGAAATTAAGAATTAAGGATTTTTGTATGAAACTTGACGCGATCTAAACTTAATATCAACAGATTTTTGATTTAAAAAAAATTCGGCATACGAAAGTCAATATCTTTAGATATTATATATTGGTTTACCGTGATCTAATGCAGCAAATATATATCTATTATTTTCTTTTTCGGGGACACGCCCACTTACGTTATTTTAATGCAAATTTAACGCTGTTTGCCTAGTTGTACGAAAAGCTATCAATTTCACGTCGAAATTTAATGAATTGTCACAGTCGCGAAAAAAATAATGATAGTTAGAGTAGGGTGAAATTTGGAACAAACCTTCCTTGATCGATCAAGAATACGAAGTTCACGAAATGTTCACGATGCGTTCATATAATAATAACCTCGGTAGATCTTGATAATTTTTTTTCGTGATATTCTAAAGCATATTGGACTGAATTTCATAGATTGGAAACATTTTTGGCCCGAATATGATAATGATCCTAACGATCACCTGAGTCACAGATTATCGAAAATACGTTCAAAAGATCGAAAATTTAAGGGCGAAAATATGGGAAAATTGTCGGCATTTTCCCAGATTATTTTCATTTCCTTTGGGTTATGGGCGCGTATGTGAACAGATCACCTACATCTCTTAGCCTCACATGATGGGTTCTGCCAAAGCTTTCAGCTTTTCATCTTCATTTTCGCGACTGCGGCAATTCTCTGAATACATCCGCCAAATTTACGACTCTATGCGAATGTAGTGACAGAGGACCAGCCTCTCTGAAACCTACGAAGTCAGCGAAGACTGCGGAATATTAATGATAGCCAGAATCATCGCCTTTTAGTTTGAATTTATTCGTTATAAAGAGAAATTTTCTTCCTACAAGTAAATCTATTCAGTCTTGTAAACTTTTTCCCGTTTTGACTTACCGGACATAGAAATTTATCAAATCGAAATAAAATAAATCGCACTACTATGTAATTTTGTATGTGTTTTTTGTTTTTTTTTTAGTGCAATCTCAGTAAACAATTTGTAAAACTTTCGATGATACGAAGATTCATAATCGCATTACTGACTGTGTAGAGATAAGTAATCACATTGTTTATCACGGAAGCCGCTGAATAAACTAAGGGGAGCAGATTAACAAGAAGATTATTTTAGATAAGAAGGGACTATGTTTATATGCGGAGCACAACGTTTACTGAGACGAGTGTAGATCTCTGTTTAAGGTATTAACATTGCTAGAAAGAAACTCAATTGATTCTCGGCTATTTGTGGAGAGATCGAATTATTCAGCTGACTGCGTACCGTTTATGGTTGCATAGTGCAATAATTTTCCGTCAATTTTCAAATATTTTTGCAAATATTGAAAGCCGTTATATGTCATGTATTTAGGTCATATGTAAAGAATTAAAAATTTTCATTAAGAAAAAAAAAGAAAAGAAAAGATAAGAAAGGAAAGGAAAGGAAAAGGAAAAGGAAAAAAAAGCTTACCTAATGTCAATGCATGTCAATTTTTATGTCGGAAGTGTATAAACATTTTTTTTTTTTTTTTTTTTTTTTTTTGGAAATTTATTGCCGTCTAGTTATGTGAAAAATAAACAATCGTCGTAATCTTTAGCTGTTCGATGTTTAGCGTTTCCTTGTGTTGCGGTTGCATGGCAAGTGCAGCCGTTTGTTTTTCATGGTACGTGCATATCAAAGAAGATGTCAAACTTGTTTCTCCTTTTCTGTTTTAACTGTTTGCTCATCTTTACAATTGTCTTATATCTCCAACATTTTTTTTTTTTTTTTTTTACCGTTAATTCAATGTTTTCCTTTTGTTTGTAACGCTGTTCGAAAAAAAACAGAAACGATTTTTTTTTTATTTTCACTTTAAATATAATGACGTAACATGAAGACTGCAACAATTGCTGGTTTACTGGTTTCAATGCATTACTTAAATGAATTAACAAATTATTGAAATTCCTTGTCGACAAGCAGACGGCGCAACGTATGTAATTACAGCGATAAAGATGAATTAATAAAATCGTATTAATGACGATAATAATAAGTTTCAGGTGTAAATTATTTTGTTATATTAATATTACTCTATATAAAAATACATGTATAGATAGGTATACAGTTATACGAATATATATATATATATATTTGAAAATGTAAATGTATTTTATTGATAAATCATTGATGATATGGACATTAATTGATTTTCATCGAACCGGTTAAATTAATTTTTTAATATTAATTAATTGAACTATAATGAATTAAAATTTTTATTGCTTTTAAGGCAAAATACATATATATATATATATATAAAAAAGGACTATATACACTTTGAATATATGCCATCTAAGTTAATTATGTGAAAAATTCAATGTTTTCTTAATGAATTCCTGGCGATTGATTATTTAATAATAATTATTATTACTTTATATAAAAAAGCTTAACAACAAGTCAGTGTTTTATTAGAAGAATTTTTTAAAAAATTCTCCCATAAACTTGATTTGTTAAATGTCCAAATCTAACACTTTTAAATCAGCAGCAATGTGCTTAACTGGTATTTTAACATATTGCGGCCCACGTCTGTTTAAAAAAAAAAAAAAAGAAACAAATAAAAACACTTTAGTGACTTACAGCGCACCAATAAATACTTTACACTGTCCTACGACTATTTATATAACGACTTTTAAATGAGGCCTTATTGAGGAAGCGATCGAAAAAATGGTGCAGTCCGAATCACATCCAATAACTTTCGTCCTTGAACCGAAACACCTTAGTGTACCAAATTTCATCAAAATATTTCAAAAATTTGGCGGCCTCTTTAGATTAAAGACATGAAAACAAGGCGGACAAACGGACAGACAGAAAATGATTCTGAATCGACTAATGTAATAAAAGGTAGATCTATCTTAAACTTTTCCAAGAGTTACGTACGTCGGCATAAACTTAATCTACCCTGTACGACAATGTAGATGTCGAGTATAATTATGTAACATAACTGTAATGTTATATTCAGACTTTAGTACTTTAATTACTGCTACATTTATTATTTTGGCAGGTCAGAGTGTTCCGATCGAATCCATTGAATGTCCAGAAAAATATGGCGTTCAGGCTTACGCTCATACGGAGCATTGCGATCAATTCTTTCTTTGCACTAACGGTACGCTGACTTTGGAAACTTGTGAAAATGGTTTGTTATTCGATGGTAAAGGTGCCATACATAATCATTGCAACTATAACTGGGCTGTTGATTGTAAAGGCAGACAATTTGATCGTAAGTTCATTTTACTTTATTGATATATTTTAGACAGCGGAAATAAGAAATTTCGTATATAGCTACAGCGATATCAACACCCGGTTGTGAATATCAATTTGGTATTTATCCGGTGTCAAAAGAATGCTCCACCACTTACATTAAATGTGCGTTCGGGGAACCAATTGAACAAGAATGCGATGCCGGCCTTGCTTACGATGATCGTATACATGGTTGCAATTGGCCCGATCAGTTATTGGAAATCTGCAATCCGGAAGGTATTCAATAATATTTTAATACAAAAATTCTCTTTCTATCACTCTTTCATCTATTACAGCCGTTGTCGGTTTCAAGTGTCCCACTAAAGTTGATTCATCGTCGGTCGCTGCTCGTTTCTGGCCTTTCCCACGTTTTGCGGTCCCCGGCGATTGTCATCGCTTGATTACTTGCGTTGAAGGGCACCCACGCTTGATCACTTGCGGCGAAGATAAAGTCTTCGATGAGACCTCTTTAACCTGCGAAGATCCCGAATACGCTCATGCTAAATGTGGTGGTGGTTACGGAAAATAAGTCTCTCTCTCTCTCTCTCTCTCTCTCCCTCCCTCTTTCTCTCTTTCTCTCTCTCTCTCTGTCATCGATGATGATGAAAACGAATTTTTTTATATTTTATTATAGAGAAATCTGTAAAATTCCTCCACATATTGTCTATTTGATCCTTCTGTATGTTTTCATGATTATTTTGTAAATACATATTTCAGCCATTTATTTGTACAGACGTTAATATACTTGTATAGTACCATCCCATTCCTATTATGTATCGTATTCAACATTGCCTTAAATGAACGACTATATATATCCTTTAAATGTTTAAACAATAATATAAAATAAAAGCAACCCAGTCTTCGGCTTATTTATTAATTTTAATGTATATTCTTTCGCGGACAAAATGTCTGCTGGCCGTTTCGGTTAACTCCAAATAACTCATTTAAAAAACATAAGAATTCCGCTCAATCAATAGGTTAACCTTGAATTGCAAATTGTAGTAGTAGTAGTAAGTAATAGGATTAGTAATACCTTTATTAAGATTTCTTCATGTTCGATCCCAATGTTCAATCGGGTAGATTCAAAGGTCTTAGGCGTGTAATTATCTCATTGTGAAAGAAGATGAAGATGTGTAGCATGAGAGAGATAGTGTAGCATGCTATACGAGTGATTGTGTGAGAATTTTAAGGCTTAAGACAGTGCAGGAAAAGCGTTCTACCGAGAGAGAGATTAATACTGAGAAGTAGATAACAACACTGCCGTCCGTTAACAGCTAACAGCAAAGTCCGGTTGAATAATGAGACAGAGGTGTGTCTATGTACGGGACGTGTGTTCATGAATGTATGTGAACTGTTGTCAAGTTTATGTCACAATCGAGGTAATTATATGATAGTATTAAGCATTCTTAGAGGTGTGTCTGTAAAACTGGTAATTGCATGGCTATCCACAATGAGTGCCGATGGTGGGTCCTTTATAAAATGATGGAATTACGAGTGGATCTGCCCCGCTATTACTATCTTCGCACAGGATGTCCATTGTTAAGTAAATGGTTCTGGGCCATGATAAGCCTTTTTCCGAGTTGTAGATATCGTTCATCAGGGTATCATCATTTGTGTATTTCTTCTGCAAAGACAAAACAATTCTGCGTAACTGTATGACTCCTGATGTTTTGTAGATGTGTTCGTTGGGCAACTGCTTTGTCGGGTTTTGATAATATTTGGCAATGTATCTTCTCTCCTTTTCTCTCCTTCCAACTTGAGCAATAATTTAGTGCTTTGATCCCCCACGTTTTGCGACCCGAGAAGTAGCTGTGAAATATTTTCACCAGGTGTGGAATCGACA